TATTATTAAATGAGAACATAAATAAGAATAAAAACATACTCATCTGCCCCACAGGGAATGTTGGGGGTTTTGGAACCAATGAACATCAACAAACAAATAATGCCCAGTTAAGCTCTCATGGAAAGGATCTATTAGATACCCAACTGGCAGTACACAGATTTTATGTCAACATGTAGAGAAAGGACTGTTTTGTTCTGTTTGAAAGTATTTATTCACATGAAGATTGATATTCAGAAAAGATACAAAAAGTTTCCAATAATCACAGAGAGATGCATTGCACTCAGCTGGTCTCGAGAACAATCTCTGAGTTCGTCTAACCCAGAGACTTAGACAAGACAGAGTCCAAATGATGTAGAGACAGACCAAGACTGACTGTCTTGAAAGCAAGACTGGGCTTGAGAACACTACTCATAGCATCGGTGCAGAAAACTAAAGAAAACTCTGGATGTCACAGATAAAACTGAACATCAGACCAAATGGCCTCAGAGAAAAGGTGTCAGACCAATTGCAAGCCTAGTCGAGCATATACTGGTTCGTATAACTTAAACTTTTTTTCTGAGGCCGTTTGGTCTGACTGTGTTTGTGTTGTCTTTTTTTTCGGTTTCACCACATCTGAGACATTGGTGGTTTTTCTTGAGACTCAAAGTCGTTTAGTACGAGGAATGATGCCGTTCTGACTCTGGGGTCTGAGGATGTCCTAAAATGTACCCCTGTAGCTCCGCCTAGTGCTAATTAACATATATTTGCATGTTGGTCAGTTTGAAAACCAAACTCCAAAGTGGCAAATGAAAAGTAAGTCTCCAGCAGGTGGCGCCGATGTTCGTTCGCATTTGCCTTTTCATTCTGACACTTAAAGAACGTCCACGCCAAAACTGAATCACAAACTGTCACTTGGCTGTTGATTTATCCATTTCGCATTTTCATTTTAATTTTGTCAGATATGCAGCCTGTTGCTATGAAAAAAAACAACTTAAAGATTGCATTTTGATTTTAGTTTTGACATGTATTCCGCATTTAATGAAGAAAAGCCAAAGCCAAAGTGAAGCTTGGATTTTCTTTTCTCTGTTAGCTTTTTCATTTTAGATATGGCCATGAAATACCAGAATAATGACTAAAATGAAATGACAAATAGCTGTTTTAAATTGAAAAATGAAATTGCAAATGTAGGTATTTCATTTCATTTTCAATTTTGGCAAGATATTTGTGCAGATGTTTGGAAAAAGAAATGGCAAAAAGAGGTTTGCATTTACATTTTGTTTTAATTTTAATTTCTTTTTTGGCTGGATTTTCCTCCCAGAGCTGATGGGATAAAGGCAAAATTGTATAAAATAGATTTTTCAGCGAACCATTCCTTTAGGATCTGTTAAATAATGTGCTTAAACACACACAAATGCAGAAATCACATGGAAATGTAATTATGCTTATTTGGGTGCCTGCAGCTTCTTTTGCACAGGCATGTTTTACATCTAATAAAAGGTGCCAATTTGGACAGTACTAAAAATCATAGAGAAACACTGGTTAAAAATGACACTACCCCACATTCCAAAGTAAACCTAATCCCATCTGAATAGTGCTTGATCATTTTGATTCTGCACTGAAACAGTGTGCGCTGTTAAGACCATAAGGCAGAAGTGTCCAAATCCTTTTGACCGCTGTCCAGGACAGTTTGGTGCATAACAATTCTGTAGAACATAATGAATCTGAATCAGGTGTATTAAAGCAGGGAAATCACCAAACTGTGCTGAGCTAAATCCCTGCAGAACCTGAGCAGAACACTCTTGTCGTAAATTGGAAAGAACACCAACATTGGTGGATAGTTTTGGTCCTGATATATATATATATGTAGCCACATAGTCATTTTTTTTCTTTCTTCAGAATTGTTGAATTATGCTGGATTAAAGTACGAAAGGAATAATGCACTTTTGTTTGGTGGATTTGTGTGTAGATTGCAGTGTGACATTTGGGATGACTTATGGAGGATGATGGCTCTAACCAGATTAATTTCTCACATTTTTGGACTATAGTCTCTTTGTTTTTCTCATTTATTTAGCATGTAAATTAATACTAGTAATAAAACACTGATTATATACTAAAACAGTTTTTTTGCAAAATAGTTGTGGACCACTCACACATCTCATGAATTTACTGACTGACTTTTTTAATATATTTTTTTTCTTTCCAGTTCCTTCATGTATTTTGCTCATAAATATTCAGATATTAGAATATACTTAACATGTTGCTGAACTGTGCCAATACATAGCTTAAGAAACTATCCACAACTACAGATTTAAAAATGCACTCAATGACTGTTTTTGTGCCTAAAGCCTCATGTAACTACAAATTTCAATGTAGTAAATGTAAGAGTAATGTAAATAAAAGCTCTTTGATATTTGAGGCAGTTCATTTTCATGAAGCAGCCTGATGTATATGACTATACTGGCTGCTGCGATTGTGTTATTCAGAATGTCAACTGTAAATGCGCCAGTTTGCATATTGTAACGTATTTTTGCTGTGGTTTAATAAATCACACTTTAACAGCCTATAAATCACTTATTGTTAAAATAGTGTGACTTTATTTTGTATAGCTTTAACGTCGTTTAAGCCTGCATTCACGTTTTGTGTTGGAAGGTATTCTTTGTTGGAAAGTCTATAGTAGAGCTTTGTGTTCAGCAGACAATGTTACTGAAAATTGATAAGTTATAAGTAAGTAGTACAGTATAAGTAATCCAAGTGGTTTTTGATATGAAAATGTATCGTTTAGATTAATTGATGCATCAATAATGATGCATAGACCTGCTAAGGATACAAAAGTCTGTTTCGGCAGTTTAATCTACTTTTCTCCTTTTAATAATATGATTATGAAGTCTTGTTGCATTTATTTTGTATGTAATGAACTTAATAAATCTGAAACAGATGTGTAAATAGTTGTTACATGTTATTGTTACTCTGATTTACAAAACAAGTGCTTACCCATCTGAATTGTGCTCTGAATGCGGAAAAAAATATGGAAGAAAAATCACAGGGCATCCAACAATAAAAGAAGCCTTGAGAGTCTTTTGTATATTGATAGGAAACATGTGGCACATATAAAAGCTCTGACTCTACATGCTGATATATTTTACTATGGCACTGTGCTCATTCACACTCTGTAAATGCTCTGGTGGCACTGTCTCAGTTTTCTGAATGTCATTAATTGGTGGTCGAGTTTAAAATGGATGTTTTTTAGTATGTGAAAGGTGGTCTTGTATGGTCTGTGTGGCAGAAATATTAGTAATTAAGCTAACTTTATGGTTTCTTTTTTTTTAAAGAGGCTTTTACTACAAGCATTTCAAATGTATATGTTTTTCTCGTTATCTTCCGTCATTACCTTAAATCTGCAGTACTGTGCAGACAGCTCCCTTCACACACATTTAATTTCCAGTCAATGGCCATTTTGACTGGACATTAAATAAATGAAACACATTAAGTTTTGCACAGTACACTTGTACACATGTGTATGTCGGTCCCAGGGACAGGTGTGTTTCTTTTAATATCCATGTTTAACACTTCATTTGTACTCCCAGTTCCAGCGTTGGCTATAATTAGCAGAGGTATACCAGTGTCAGAGCCTTAGCTGGAAAGGGTACCGTTCATGCCTGCCAACAGCAACTGATAAAATACTACACCCCTGCATCAGAGAGTGGGGCAAATACAGCAGGCTAGCCAGTAATTTTCATTTGCTCATTCATTCTCTCACTTACTTGCTCACTGGTTTGTTCTCTGAGCTCCACATAGCCAGGGTGCTACCTCAGCAGGCTTACATGGATGCGTGGCATGTTGCCAAGTGTGTCCTTCTGCTGTTTTTGCATGACAAGCCTGATATGACACTGTGGATGGATCTGTACTTAAGGGCAGATAACTTCAGGGTTTAAGCCACCAAAGAGTCTGCAGATAATAAAAAACAATGTTTTAATTGAACAATAACCTCAGGAAAAAGTCAGCATTCTGCTCCATTTGATCTCTGACTCAGTCCTGTGGGCACTCTTGATGATGACCCAGGCATCATTCAGCTGCTATTGATAGAGATATCACTACAGAACAGTGCTTTAAAAAAAAAAAAAAGACAAAAAACCCTAATAATTGTAATCTGTAATGTATGTCTGTGTGCTGGTGCCTTTTTGAAGTTAACATGTGAAAGAGAAAATCATAACACCAGTAGCATCAAGAATTTTCGAAACACAGTATTAAGGAAGGTGTCTGAGCAAGCAGAGTATTTTAGCTTGATGATCAGTGGAGATAACGAGAGTGAGAGAGGTGAAACATGATACTATCGGTTAATATTTTCCCTGCCCACTGGTGCATGGTAATGTAACCAAAATCAGAAGAAGTGTTAGAGGTGGATAAAAGTCATTACATTGTGATGGAAGATTATGGGAAAGCAGTTACGTTTTTAAATATGATTAATAATGCTTAATATTAACTGGCACAAACTAACAAGAAAAAAGTCCAATTTAATTTCAAATTGGCTGTGACATTTTCCTTTGTTTTGGTGATGGGCAATGTTTAGATCAGTTGATTTATATGAGTAATCAAGTAATCTTTTTAAAAAAGGCCAAACAGTAAAAAGACTTCATTGAAAAAGGGTAATTTAGTGGCAAAAGATGAACTTGGAAGCAGTTAAAAAAATATTTTAACAGTTTAAGACACTGTGTAGCACAAAATTCAGGTAAATATTTGTGGCTAGTTAGAGAGACTTGGAGAATTTTTAAAGTATGTAATCATGAAAACTGCAAATGGTTCATTACTGATTCAAGAAAGCACACTGTGTAACCAAGTTTAATTGATTAATCAGAACAGCCCTACATCTGATACCCAGCAAAATGTTGAAAAGGAAGTAGCAGGATGGCTTAAAATATTTGGCTGTGAGGTGGAGGAATAGCTGTTTGAGTTGGATCCAGACTGATATTGGACACCTCTCCGGTGCCCAGTGGTTTGACTTGGGCTAGAGACATTGCCTGCCCCCTGATCCCTGGTAAGAGGATCCAGGTCAGTGTGTCTTTTGCAGGAGCAGGCGTTTGGTTTGACAGAGCAGCTGCCTGACCTGTAGCACTGTCCTGTCGTAGCTGTGAGTCAGCGTCCAGAAACAGTCTCTCAGCCTTCCGCTCGGCACCAGGACGCTACAAGGGTGTAACCAAGCCACACTCATGCTCAACATTCTGGATTAACAATCATTGGACAGAGGAGGTTTATGTGAAGTCTGTTGATGAAGGAGTGGACAAGTTGAACTTGAAGCTTACAGGAGGACCAAAGTTTTAAGATACTGTAAGGTACATGTTCATTGCTGCCACTTGTAAGGGGGCTTTGTAAGCTAGTTGTGGGGAAACTTGTGTAGATCTAGACTGTGGAATAGGAGACTAGCGCTCAGGACAGGCTATTCTGGGTTTTCCCGTTAGAGCTGTCTCTGGTGGCTTGTTAGAGTTTAACTGCATGCTTTAGGGAAGAGCTTCCCCCAAAGGCAGACCCAGGATCACATTACTCTTAACCATGAAAAGAATCATATCTGATGCTAGATAAGTCAGTGACACTGGATTTTATTTCCATGTTATTGCCAGTACATATGTATGCCCCAAGCCAAAAGATATTTTACTGCCTGGAAATATGTGTGTTTGTAAGTCTTATTGTTTGCTCGTTTGGGGCTTGATTAATTTCTTTTAAAAACATAGTAAGTGCACAATAAGCGCAGTAAAAAATATTGCTTAGTTATCATAATTGTTTACAGCATTCACAGTTTCATATACTCCAGTTCCAATACTAGATATCAATATCTGGCTGAAATCAATCAAATCCTGGATTGATATTGGTGGAAAATTCTTAGCAAATCTATCTAGAAATGTCACAGAATTGCTTATTGTGCCACAAAATGTAAGGTAAAGTAAATTAAACCATAAGGTATACAGCATATATATGTAATATTTTTCATTTTAAAGCTTGCATCAATATCAGCCGATATTATTAATGCAAATTATAAGCAAATGGGATAATAGATGAAGAAAGAGCTACACAATGCAGTTTCTTTTATCTCTGCAGTGATGATGCAGTTAATTAGACAGTTGTCAGGGATACATTGGGACACGTTACTTAATATAACCAAATACCTATTTAAGAGTAAACATTGTCTGATGTGTGTTTGTGTTTGTTTTAAGCTTTATGAGGCAGAGAATTCCACGGATAGGGTATGATATATCTAACATGCCTGGTTTACTCTGCTTTTAAATGTGCAGTAATACTCTTTTGAAGAATAATTCTGTGACCACAGATGTTTTGGACTGAAGATGTTTGAGAACTCAGCCATTAGAATGAACCTTGGAATGAACCAAGCTGGTACTTTGTCATGTCACAAAAAGCTTGATAAATTATGGTGGGGCCCAGCAGTCAAAGAACTTCGCTGTAGGTTTGGCAACGGGATTATTCCCAGCTGCTTCATTTAAGTTTTAAATAAGCAGAAAAGCTGTAGTCCATTCTTATTTGCATCTTTCTTCAATGCAAGCCACCTCAATATATTACTTTCTGATGAGTAAACCCACTTTTTGTTTACTTCTCTCTTTCCTTTTTCCTTACTCTGCTTTCTGTCTTATCTTTTTTACAATGGTTCTACAGTCCTGGAATCCAGTCTGAAAGGGTTGGTACTATTTGCTTTTTATTAATTTTACATTTTGACTGTAATGCTGGGTGATGTATTGTCTGAGCTGGTATACTGCTATTGATGTCACCATACAGATATTGAAGTTGTAGCCATGTTGATATATGAAGTATACCAATATGAAGTGATTCAAATAGGTATGAAAGAACAACAAAGATTCATATAGGTATGAAAGAACAACAAAGATTCATATAGGTATGAAAACAAAAAAATAAAGTAGTAAGTATCCCTTTTGGAAATTTCTATCTGGTTAACATTTTAAGTACCATATAAGGTTCTCTTTGGAATAAAACAGTTCAGTTTTATCAACAGCTGAATTTTGTCATCATTTTTTTAAATAACTAGTCTTATCAGCATCCATGAGCCAATAAGCATGCTTGTTCCAAAATGTGTTTGGGCGTCTAATTTATGGTCCACATGCATGTTATTACAGTCTGTGCTTCTTGATTAGTCTGCAATCCGTTGCCATGAGTAACCTACTTCTAGTACTTCATATTAACTGGGATGCAGAGTGAAATAGGATAGGAGACCATGTCGCAGTACAGGACAAAGTTAACATTAATTTCATGGAGTGCTTCCAGGGGTCTTATTAACAATGCTGACATTTAAGTGCTGTATTGTGCGTACTCAGTCATATTGCTACACCCTCTTTCCCTTCTTCATGTATGGAAAAACTTGACACTACCACCATGCAGCTAGCACCTATGAATAGTGCCAGTTCTTGAAGGCACTTCAATTCCCTATAGTCCGACTGCCTCAGTGTCTTTAGCCCCACATCTGTGGATATAGTAAGGGTTTAGAGTCTGATTTTTGCCTTTGAATAATTCTATATTAGGTCATGTGTCTTGTGTTTATGGCAGAGGACAGCTTGATTTGGGATCCTGGCTATGGTCCAGTGGTGGGGGAACTAGAAAGGCAGGCCTAGCCTGGAGGCGAATATAGACTGCTTGCCTGTCTGTCTGTTTCTCTCACTTTTTTGCTTTCTCTCTCTGTAGTTTTTTTTTAAAGCAACGTCATGAGAGCCCCAGCTGGATTCTATTACATGTGGACAGCTTAGCGTTAATCAAATGGCTGAAAATATCCTCTTTATTTGTGTGGCATGCTCTCAGAGTTCACTAATGGGACTAAATGGATACCATGGTCTTAGATTAGCCTGGTCTCTAACTCCTTATAGTTCTGTTTTGTAAGGGGTGTGGTTTGACCTAAAGCTTATCTCTGTGTTTGGGTGCCTCTACACCAAGTTAATGTGGTTTTGAAACCATAGCTGTGGTTTACTTTCTGTTAGTAGTTGTCATTGGCAAAACACATCTGTTCTCCTGTACAAGTCTATAGATGTAATGTCTAGCTACGAGCTGTGAAAGCTGTATCATCTCAATGAATCATTTTGGACCAGAGCACCAATAAGACGTTGAAGACGTTTAGGAAATGTTCTCCTTATGCAAACTTTGGGCTTAACTGTTACCTTTGAGGATCAAGCTGAATGTGGAAATAATGACTAGAGCTAGTGATGTTATTTAACTGAACAATAATGCTACAAACAATTTTAAGAGCCGCATTACATGGTAGTTGAACAACATTATCCAATGTAGTTTACAGAACAAAACAGAACAATCACAAGAAATAATCTTGGATCTAATAATAATAAACTTTGATTATATAGCTCCTTTCATACATAAAAATGCAGCTCAAAGTGCATCACAATTAAATTAAAACATCAAATAATGTATGTGAAACAAGAAAAGCCAAAATTTTCAAAACAATTGAAAGGAATGTTTGTTTAATAAAAATAACAAATCAACAAATAAATAGAAATATGAACAATTAAACATTTCAAATTTAGAGAAAATTGGTGAGAATTTCTGAAAAAAAAAATATTTCAGATAACAGAATGAATGACAAGTAAAGACAATACAATGAATAAAATAAGATTTAAAATAGAATCAAGAACGCTAAGCTAAATTAAAATGCTTTCAACTGCTTTTAAAGCTTTTTACAGATGATGCCTGATGAATGTTAATTGGTAAAGAGTTCCACATTTTTGGTGCAAAAAAACAGAATGCTGCTTCATCCTGGGAACATTCAATAAAGCAGCACTTGAGCTTAAAGCAAGATTTGGAACATATTCTGTCTGGAATTCAGAGATGTATGTAGGTGCTAACCAGTAAAAGAATTTTAAATCAATTCTAAATGAGACAGGTAGCCAATGTAATTAAGCTAAAGCAAGTGTTATGTTCTCTTTTTGTATGAGTTAGTAAGTTTAAATCTGTGAATTGTGGTTTTAAGTAACCCAGAACATGATCCATTACAGTAGTCTAGTCATAAAAAACAAAAACATGGATCACCCTCTCACCATCTTGCAGTTTGAGAAAAGGTCTAACTCTTGTTATATTTCTTAAATGGAAAAACATTATCAATGTGAGATTGACAATTTAAGGTGGGTCCTAAAATTATGCCAAGATTTCTAATTTCATGTTTTGACTGTGGAGCCAAACTTCCTAACTGATTTAAAACCTTTATTCTCTCTGCTTCATTACTAATTATGAGAATTATGAAAGGCATAGTTGGGTGAGTTTGGTGTGGAAGAACTTGACTGACCTGCACAGAGCCCGACCTAGAACTAGAACAGAGATTGCGAGCCAGGCCCTCTCGTTTAACATCAGTGTCTGACCTCACAAATGATTTTCTGGATTAATGGGCCAAATTCCGACAGACACACCCCAAAATCTTGTAGAAAGCTTCCCAGAAGAGTGGAACCTGTTATAGCTGCAAAGGAGGGACCAACTCCATATTAATGCCAATGGATTTAGAATGGGATGTCATAAAATCTCCTGTAAGGTGTAATGTGTAGGTGTCCCAATACTTTTGTCCATATAGTGTATATATGAAACCACTTAAAAACAGTTCCTGAAAGGCCTACCCAGTTTTCCAGGCGGTTCAAAAGAATATCATGGGCTACCGTATCAAACGCTGCTCTTAAATCTAAAAGAACAAGGACAGAAACTCTATCAGCATTGACTCAAAGATTGTAATCTTTGCCAGTGCTATTTCAGCACTATGACCTGATCTGAAGCCTGACTGGAATTTTTCAAAAACATCATTTTCATTTAGGAACCAATTTATTTTTGCAAAGCTTATTTTTTACTTAAACAATGGTACATTTGAAATTGGTTTAAAATTACTTAAAACAGATAAGTCTAGATTGTGTTTCTTTAGTAGAGGCCTCACCACAGCAACCTTGAAAGCATCCTTTTTCAAAAAATATCATAACTCCAGGTCTTCAATTCCTCAGGCTTGATCAAATATCGGTGATTTTATTGTTTATAAAATAGTGCAAAGATTCACATTTTGATGTCGATGCTTCACATAACCAGTCATTCATTGTAGTAGGATTTAAAAGGCATTCATGCGGTTTAGTGTTTTCAATGATACTAACCTGTGTTCTGGGTTCACAAAAACAAGTACAGCTTTGTCAGACGTCTGTTTTAGGTGAAGATTTGACCTAAGGTTCTGTTTCAGCACCGTGTCTGTCTACTTTGGTCATGTCAGTTTCTGGATTTTTGTGTGCAGCAGGGATAAAAGATTTTGTTTGATTGGGTTGCATGTTCTTACTGGCAGTGTTTTGAGGCTGAACCTAGAGTTGCAGCCCTGAAAGTGGAAGCACACTTAAGAAATTAGCACACTCAAGAAATTAGCACACTCAAGCCAGAATAGAAATAAGGGTTGTCTGCCCAACTGATATCTGATATATGAGGTGTTCTAGATCTCCATTGCATGCTGTCTAAAGAAATATGTAATCTGTTCATTATTAATTTGAGCTAACCCATAACAGTCTGTAACTTTAAGTTCCTGGTTAGATTTTCAGGAACTATGACTAAAGCAAAATGCTTCAAACTACAGTGGCTCAGTGGATTGGATTCTGAGGTTTGAAACTGACTGTGGTGGAGCTAGAAGGGTTTGCACTTTTGCACTGTCATTTGTGTTTTTTTTTTCTTCAGTCTAATACCTGTGGCTACAGATAACGTTGTGTTTCTGTTGTTTTGCTGTATTCTGTGCATTAAGCAGGATGCTGTATTCTTAGGGTACATGGAGAAGTTCTTGAATGTTGTACTCTTTCTCTTCTCTTTCTTTCTTGAACTGAATGTCTCGTGGTGTTTATCTTGTAATTTAATCTTCATTTCCTTCTGATTCTAATTAAGTACTAATTATAATAACTATGTTTGATCACCTGTCTGTAAAGCACTTTGAGCTGCCACCGACATGAAAAGTGCTATATAAATAAAATTATTATTATTATTATTATTATTATTATTATTATTATTGATGCTTGCGATGAACAAGTATTACAGATTGCTGGTCACTTATAGAAACCCTCGCCGTTTTGGCTACTTGTCTGACCTTATTCCACTGTTTATCTGCTGCTGCTCAAACTGTTTGAAGAACATTTTTGTAATATGGGCTGTGCTTTAGAGTATTCAGAGAATTCACTTAGAACTTGAACATGTTTTCTGAGGATGTAAGTGAATTATCTATTATTGTCATCATATCTTCGTCAGTATAATGTTAATTTTGCATTTGAAATCTAAACATTGAGCCAGACCTTCCTTCTTATGCTATGCTTGTGACATTAGTACATAAAGACACGTGTGATGCAGTCTGAAAAACTCCCACAAAATTCGACCTGACATCTCTGACTTTTAAATGACTATTTCAGGCTTTACAGGGCGACTTGCTGCGGTGCACACACACTATGTTTTGGTGTGTTTTTTTCCTGCCTCAGTAATGCTGCTTCTTTCAATTTTAACCAAATAAACCTAGATAATTCTTAATTTTTTTTTTTTATTTACATTTTTTGACCCTCCCCTTTGGCCAAATTTTTTAGCCATTTTTTTTCTCTTTTGACACTTTTGACCGTTTTAGGTGGCAAAGTTTCAGTGTCTGAAATTCCGGTGCATCCCTATTTTTAAATTACACAAAAATAG